TATAATATAAAAAATATATATATATATTTATTTAATATAATATATATTTAATATAAATATATATATATTTTATAGGTAACTAATATTTTGCAAATACGAACCACGATGGTGTACTATTTTCAGTCCAGAGACACCAATCGTGGTTCGCATTTGCAAAATATTAGTGCGTTTCGAAACCTATTAAAAAGAAAAAAGTGTCTCAACCGATACGTCCACGACTGTACGTTACCTGTTAAATCCATGGTCTCCTCAGCTATGTCAAAGTCGAGGTGAACGCTGAAGCTATCTCTGCTAAAAAGATGTTGTCTGATGCTAGACAGATTCCTAAGGGACATCTCGTTTTTAACACACGCCTCTGTCACGTTCTTGCTCTTACGCGGTGTGTTGTACATGACGGAATGCTCGCTGCGCAATGCGCGGCCATTCTTTATGTAAGGTATCAAATACGACAGATCCGACGGTTTCTGCACTGTACTGTTCGCCGGTTGAATGGACACCTGCGGTTTATGCGTTTTTACTAAAACACAGGACAAGGTTCGATATTAGATTTGAAGGAATACAGGCAGAGAGGCGAAGAATACGAATTTTCACAAACCTGTGTAGGGTGTTCTAATGTAAACTAAACTATTTTCGTCGCGCGGCAAACCGTAAATTGTAGCTGGAAAATTCATGGCACTCGACACGCTACCTGTAATGTACGCGCGCAATCTAATTGGTTTAATCTTTTCTTAACAGCGCATTACTTGCGCTTACAGTAGCGTACCACAGAGTGGCGCATTTTAAGAAACCGAGCATTGCGTACCGTGACTGGAATCCCCTTGAATTCTCACAGATTTCTCATGTGTCGTATTGTTTATAATTGTAGACAAGGCGGGCTGCAATCTTTGAACGACATTTAATATTAATTCACACCGTTTTATCACCCGCAACTGTTGAGGCTCCGTTGCGTTTTCCACCAGAAGGGTTTTGGCAGCTGCGTTAGCTTCAAATATAGCTGTAACGAAGATACGCAATCTTTAATATGCACCAGCAAAATATATTTAATTCATACAGCATCGTAATTACCCGCTTTCAATTCTCTCGTCATCATTATCGTTTGCCGATCGATGTTTTCGGTGCCAATGTCGTTTACGATCGCTGTGACTTGACTAGACAAAGCCGAAGCACGTTGAACGATGCCCTGCACTTGCAGCTGCGTCACTGGCTCTCTGTTGTCCAGGCAATCCGAGATTGTCGTTATACGTTCCTGAAGACTATCCATAACTACCTGAATAAAAGATACATTCAAGTACTCTTGACATTTTTACAATCCTCTACAATTCATTGTACTTACTTGACAGAAGGCAGCCGAGTTTATAATGAGATTTACGGCATTCTGAAATTTATTCATTTCTAGCTGCCACTGCATCGTCAACAGCTTGACGCTCGAACGCATTTCCTTATTATCTGGATGCAGGTAGAAGGAGGTGATAGCGGAAATTAATTCAGTTTCCAAGGATTCGAATCCCGCCAGACAATTGCGAATTTTGTTATTGCCTGAAATAATCGAATTTACATTAGATACTTTTTTCATTACTTAAAAGGATTGTCAGCAGTTTTTTATAAAAAAAAGAAAATTTTAAAATTTACGAAAAAAAGAGAAACTTACGGTTTTTGTCCTTGCAACAGGCGATCGCAAAGATTCCAATTTGCACAGTTTGATCGAAGAGTTGATCGAAGTCTTCTATGAGATCGTTTAGATCACTCTTCGATCGTCTTTTCGCGCTTAACGAATTGCCGCATGTCATAACGAGCTTCTTCAAAGCCGCGTAAGGATTGCTGAACACCTCCATCGCGAGCGTTAGCACCGCGATGTTAACTTTACGTTCCAAACGATAAAGCGCGTCGGTCAAGGTGTGCGTGAACAGATTATTCAACGCCGAATCTGGGGTTTCCGAAAGCAATTGCTGTTTCAGCTTCTCATACTCCAGCACTATGGACTGGCACGAACCGGTTATGGCCTTAAAATTATACGGCTGACACACCTGGGTGATTGCCATAGCGTGAGAGAAGACGTCCTCCAGTCTCAACCACAGTTCCGCGCACTCCGACACTTGCTCCTCGTGCGTCTTGCTCGGTATTTCCAATATAATGTCTAATGCCAGATCCATCCTACGAGCGTGCCATCAGAATTACTTGTGCGAATGCAATTATAAGAGAATATTTGTTTTCTCACCTATAAACAAAATGATTCTCCCTCTCGCAGGATTCCTCTTTCGGCGACGGGTTGGAACCCGTCAGCAAGTCCAATATCATCTCACAGCAAATGCATATTCTTTCGCAAACGTACTTCTTGCAAGCCTGCGCAGATTTGTTCGGTATAAATTAGCGAAAGCGGCTCTAATTGTACAGGGTGGGTATTCAAATTTTGTAAAAGAATTCCCTGAAAATTCCCGGATTTTCCAGGAATTTTACTCAAAATTCCAGATAATATCAGAGAACTTCTCAATCACAGCTTTGCAAATTAAATTAAGCACTGAAAGTTCTAATAACGTATAGAACTTGGTGCGTGAAACAATTTAATCTTCTCATATGTACAATAGTTACATCTACAAAATTTTTCGAACGTAACGAAAGATTTTGTATGGACCTACATATGTGAAGATTAAATTGTTTCACGCACCAAGTTCTGCGTTGTTAGACTCTTGCTAATGCCTGATTTATTATTTCTGGATTATCATTTTTCAGATTGAAGTCTTCATATAGTATATATCAATTTTAAAATAAATTAACTTTCAATATTATAATAATATTATAATAGCCATGTTTACTTTCTAAAGGGATAAAATTAAATTTAAAAGTAAAATTCAAAAAATTTTCCCGAGTACCAGTAAAACTCCATGAGAATCCATGATTTTGAAGGGTAAAAATGAAATTCTTTAAGAATTTCAAGTTTTCCCGGTAGTACCCATCCTGTTATATAAAGAAAAATGTTAAATATGTGTAATTTATTACATAAATTGGTGCGTTTAACTGATGCTGCTCCTGAGCCACTTGCACTAGCATCTCGAACGATGTGCACAGTTGAGAGGTGTATAAAGCCAAGTTTTGCGACAGGAAAGCAGACGTCAAACTTTTTCTGTAATTCTGCAGTGGTTCGAGTATCTCTAGTATCGAGGTGCCCAGTTCCTTTTAAAAGCACGAAAGGAATTAATATTCACGCATTACAATAAGATTAATATGCGCTTCAAGTTTATTTCGTTGTTGTTACCTTTATATTTTGGAGATCCTCAATCTCGTTCGCTGTGCTCATTTCTTTAACATAGTCCAAGCAGTCCTGTAGTCTCTGCTTCAACGGCAAGCACTCTAAATCTTCCAACGCTCGCAAAACCAACGCGAAATTATCGAGCAGTGATTCTGTCTTGCGTCTGGCTGCACTGCTGTCGATACTGTCGCATTTAATATCCTTGATCTAAAAACCCGGAGACAGCAAGGATGGAATTTCATTCGACAGGAATGAGAACAAATATCAAACGTTGCATCGAGATTCCTCTACCACTTACGAGCTCGTCGACATTCTTCAACTGAGAAGTACACTTCGAATTTGTCGCCGCATCGGCATATTTCACACTTGCAGCCTCCTCGTAATCGCAATTATCTTCGCTCAAATTGTTGAATCTCTGAGTTAAAGAATGCAGCTGCTCGTGCAGCATCGATTTCACAGCCAGGACCTCCGACGGATCGACGGAAGCGGCGGTCAGCAGCGGATGCAACTTGTTTATCTGAAAGGGGGAGAAAAAAAAAAGTTAATTCTGACTTTTGTTCCGCAGACAGTAAATCGACCGCGGTGTCTATATAACTTTCTTTATATCCTGCAATAGAGGAGTTTCGCATCGATTTACTGATAATCGAAAGCAGCAAACTCGGATTACCTGCTGCCGCAGCAGCTCCAGCAGCTTCCTCGTTCGCCTCGTTTTCAACGTTTCCATCGTATTAGATTTTTCTTATCACTTCGACCCTCCACGGCTCTCTCATTGAGAAACTTCAAAATTCACACGTCTCTCAACGGCGGAATGTAAATAAAGTGAATTCAGTAACAAACCAGACATGGCAACCAACATCTGGCGCTAATGTCACACGTCCGTCCCCCCCCCCCTCGTGTTTCTTGCACTATTTGCACTGCGCTTTCTGCACCTGAAATGAAATAGGTGTTCGATTAGCGTTAGGAAAAAAAAATAGAAAAATCAAAAAAAGGGGGGGGGGAGGAAGAAATCGAAAACTTTGAAGGACAAACGGAACAAACCTGTGGATTAGCGTCAAGTGCTTCAACCAGGAGGAGAGGAGCCTCCTCTGGCTTCGGTAACCTAACCCTAATTTTTCCTAACCTAACCTCAACCCGACGAGTGCGAAAGCGTCGCGGCAAACATTGCCCGCTATTGCCCGCGTCTGTTTTTTTTCTCCTTTCTCTCTTTTTACGGGCAAACATTTCAAAAAACAAATTTCCACAGATTTCACCTCCGGGTTCACTCCTCTTTTTTTTTTTGCCCCCCCTCAAGATGTTCTCCAGGGAGAGGAAGGGCGAGATGGAGATCGTCGTGACGCTGGACGAGCCGCTGACGAGTGACTCGTGCACGAAAGTCGTGATGGAGCTCATAAAGTACATTCTGTATCAGAAGCAGCAGATCCCGCTGACGTACGAGGCGCTGGCGCGATTTCAGACGAGCGTGAAGGCGACGGACAGGAACGCGGTCTCGTTCGGGGCGCTGTCGGGCACGCTGAAAAACGTGTCCGACCACCTGTCCTCGCAGTTCTTCCTCAAGGGCTGCGACATCAAGGAGGTCGCGATAATGCTGGGCGCCACGATACTCTCGCCGAAGCTCTACATCGGGATAGAGCTACCCTCGTACGTTCTCAACAGCAAGCGGCACAAGGAGTATCAGCATTCCTCCGCGAAGCCGCTTTTGAAGCTCATGAGGTGAAGAAGGAAGAACCTTCAGTACAGTAAAATACACCTGCGCGAATCTGTATTGAGAAACGTAACAACATGTTGTGATACTTGCAGGTCTATGCTGGAATGCGACGAGTTTCAGAAGGCCATGGACGTCCCCCTAAATATGACGAACATGTTTGTCATGCTGAGGAAGAGCGACAGTAACTCGGTGTCCGATTTCTTCCTGCCCAAACCGCAGTACGTGCCGCCGGCGCAGGCGACAAGTTGCTTCAGGATTAGACTGTGCCACGGTGACCAGGTGGATGTGCAGTGCAGCTGCAGGACGCTCGTTGAAGTATATCATGACTCGTGCGAGACCTACCTGGAGAACGAAGACGACGTGCAATATACCCAATACAACAGCTCCACTCAGTCTTCCTATCGATGGTATCAGTCCAAGCAGATTATAAAGGGATTTAAATACCATTTGTGACCGTAACTTCTGTCGCAGTTGTGTAGCAGAATTCGAAAATTTTTGTAGAGTAGGATGAAGAATTTGGGATTATGTTGAAGTAGATTTTAATGACCGCGTAATTATAATTAAAATTATAACGGGACAGTGTTGTGTGTGTGTGTGTGTGTGTATTGAGCGCCGATGTGTTCAACAGCATTGCCGTGTTTTGCCGCTGACATTGCAGTGATGTCAGTATGACTTGACAAATGTCCCGAGGTCATGCGATAGAAATTTCCATTCACTATCAGAGAAGCAGTATTTTTATTCGTATCAACGCACAAGAAACGTGATAAGCCTTATTATAACACTAACGACCGTAATTATGTAATGAGATTGCAATGCAAAATAATGTAATAATAAATTTTTATTGATTAATTATAGTAGATAATTATAGTAGAATAGACAAGATGATAATGTTATTGCTGGATTTATTGTGGGAGAAATTTTGTAATTGCTATTGAGTATTTTATATTGTATTGCATAATAATTACGTTTTAAATATCTTTATCTCAACAAGCTGCAGTTAATTGCCGTACCGTTGATACACGTAATAAGTTGTGCGATTATTTATATATATTAAGAAATCCTCTTACAAGAGGACAGGAAACACGTAGGAAGATCATGCGATTGTGTTTAAACAACCATGATTATGCGTAAGTTTATACTTTTTATCGCGCGGAGATAATCCCTTCCAAGCAAGCGCCTTTAGAGTAGGGCAATACGTATATTAATCCTTGTCGCGAGACGCGGTATTGCATTCCGTGATACTGTAAGAGAAAGAGAGAGAAAGATTATCAGCATCTCCCGTGAGAAAAGTTCGATTTTTCGCGTGAACTGAAAATGCCTCTGAAATATTTAACGCCGGAGCAGAAGCAGTTCTGGGAGGAAAATGGTTACATCAAATTGTCGAACGTGTACTCGGCGAAGGAAATGAACGAGATACTGGACTCCTACGATGACTTGTTCGAGAGAAAGCAGCGCGAAAATCCGAATATGGAGGCAAGCTGGGGCGGAGCTGACATGAAGAAGGAGGCTGGGAATATCAGTTACTCCGTAAGTAAGAAAAGTATACTTATCACAGCCCCGCGCATTGTATTCCGCAAAAGATTTATATCACATTGTATTCTCATTCGTCTCGAAATCAGGTGAAATCCATCCACAATCTGCAAATGCACGACGGCGTTTTCACCCGGCTAGTCACGCACCCGAATTTACTGGACGCCCTCGAGGACATCATGGGCACCAGGGACATAATGCTGCATCACACCAAGGCGCACATAAAGCCGCCGGAGAAAGGGGCGCCTTACCTGATGCATCAAGACTATCATTATTTTCCCCACAAGAAGCACTCTATGTTGGCGGTGTTTCTACACTTGGACGACACAACGCCGGAAAACGGCGGCTTGGCGGTGTACCCCGGCAGCCACAAGCTCGGGCCGTTGGAGGACTACGGGAGCCAGTACGCCGACCCGAGGGGCGAGCAGTATCACTACGCCAATCCCAAGGAGTACCCGCTGTCGAACGCCGTTCCCGTGTCCGCGAGCAGGGGTGACCTCATCATCTTCTCCTACCTGCTGCTTCACGGCTCGTATCTGAACTTGTCCGACCGGAGCCGACGCATGTTTCTCCTGCAAGTGAGAGCCGCCGACGACGAGCCGA